TTTTTTACCTAATTTTTTACATAAGTAATTGGCATGATTATTAAAAGTTAATTGTTGGTCAATAATGACTCCTAAATATTTTATTTCCAGTACTTGTTCAATTGGTTCACCACCTATTTCTACTACTTGATCATGCGCATTAAGTTGTCTGCATTGTGCTTTTGATCCTAGGATCATATATTTTGTTTTTGCAGTATTTAATTTAAGCTTATTTACACACAGCCAGTCATACAAAATAGACAATTCTTCATTTAATATTTGAATTATTTCCTGAAAATCTCTACCAGATACTGAAATGAGCGTGTCGTCCGCGAAAAGGCTAATAAATGATCTTTTTAATCGTTTATGAATGTCATTTACATAAATAATAAATAAAAGTGGACCCAACATACTTCCTTGCGGTATCCCGTAGTGGCTTTCTGTTTCACTAGATATATTATTTCCTATTTTAGTCTTATGATACCTATTAGACAAATACTCCATAATTAAATTTAATGCTACCGAATTTACACCGTAATTTTGCAACTTTTTTAATAAAACATTTCTATTTATTGTTTCAAAAGCCCTTTTAAGGTCAATAAAAACACTAACAATAATATTATTTTCATTCATATCATTTCTCCATTTCGCACAAACAAATTGGAGAGCTGTTTCACAAGAATGTTGGTCTCTAAACCCTGACTGTCCCTCATACAAAATATTATTGTCTTCAAAATAAGACTTGAGCTGATCTCTTACTACAATTTCAATGATCTTATCTGCAGATGGTAATAAATTTATAGGCCTACAATCTTCTGGTCTTGTTGGACATGATATTTTGGCTATTGGCACAATTACACTAACTTTTAAATCACTGGGAAACGTACCCTTTACAATGACCGTATTTACCAGATTAAGAAGAGGGTACCCGATAACACAAAATAACCCCTTCAAAAGTGCAATACTTAAACATGCGTCACCTGAACTTTTATTTTTAAGATTGTTCACTATTTTTGTTAATTGATTAAAACTCATTTTTTTAAAAGCACCAAACCCACTGTTGATATTGACGTCCTCCATGGGTGAAATCCTCTTATCTTCAATGCTGTTTGCGATTTCCTGGATACTGTTTTTGTAAAAATTATTAAAGTTCTCTTCCACAGTACTATTATGTTCACTAACAATAATTTTTTCAACATCTAACTTTTTTTTATTTTGACCTAGCAATTGTTTTATAGTTCTCCACATTTATTTTCCATCATTTTTAGATTTATCTTTTTTGTCCTCAAAATATGTCTTCTTCTCTTGTCTGAATATGGTCGTTACCTTATTTCTTTTAGTTTTATATAATTTCCAATCTTTTTCAATTTTTGTTATGGTAAATTTCCTATATGCTTCATCACGAACTTTTTGTGCTTGTTTTATTTTATTATTTACCCATGGTTTACTGTTACTCACCATTATTTCTAATGGGGCAATTTTTTCTATAGACTTTGTGGTATTATTGATAAAGTTCCTGTATAAAACATCGGTATCTGTTGAGGTCGTATCCCATGATGCTTCTATTAGATCCTCTGTAATTTTCTTGATTTTTTCCTTATTTATTTTACGTACACAAGTCATTTCCTTTTTCCGATCTATACACCATCCCTTTAATTCTACACCTATCATTTCATGATCTGACATTACTGGAAATTCTCGTGGAAGTTCAATTAGCGAGAAATTATTTGTTATTATCCAATCAATCAAGGAAGACGAAGTTTTTGATATTCTTGTTGGTTTTTTGACAATTTGTTTAAATCCCGAATCCTGTATAGTATTTTTGAACTTGTTGACTATACCCACATCAGATCTAAACTCCATGTTGAAGTCTCCAAATATAATCGTATCATTAGTATTTACAAGATCTCTCTGTAGTAAGTCATCAAAAAACAGCCAAAAATCATTACAATTGCCATGTGGGGATCGATAAACAGTTCCAATTATAGCTGACTTATTACTTTGTTGTATTTTAAGTAATAGTACCCAATAGTTTAAAGAGACCGACACTTTTTGTATAACTGAATAGTTTACGTTTTCCCAACCTCCAGTATGTCTGCTATCTGAATTCACTCCTATACAGTGGTACCCTGCAATTTGAATCTCGCTGTCCTCTATATCTGCAGTAATATGTGTTTCTGTTACGTTTACTAATAAAGGTTTATTTTCAGTTAGATATTCTCGAAGTTCATCAATATGTGACGTTAATCCCTCAATGTTAATACATATTGCTTTGTATTTGGTATCTTCTTTTAGTTTCTGGGATGGCTATATATATTTTATTTTGGACTTGGTTTGTTCAACTACTCTCTTGTACGATACACATTCTTTATTTGGATGAAACCATCATAAACAATTATTAAAAATCAAGTTAAAATTATAATTACTATTAAATTTTTATTAAATTTTTCGTAGATTGGACACTACCATTTAATATGTTCCGAAAACTTTTATTTAATTATTACATTACTCTTGATTAATTATTACTTTACTGAATAAGTTGTAATATTAGTTGTAATTACCTACTGTTTATTATTAATATTATTATTATTATTTATGTATTATGATACTTTTATCCATGTAGTAAGGCTGTTTGCCTGTTTGAATACAAATAAATAAATACATAAATAAAATCTCTTGAAAATCGCAGGACTTACATTTCATGTATCTTTCTTTATATATAAATTAATGAATAATTTAATTGATTGTCCAGAGCCCCTAGAACAAATTAATTTATATGTACCACGACCAAATAGGAGAACTGAGCTCGCTATTCCCAGAACGAACATCATGATTGAACTCTCCCTTAAATACATTGTGCATCGATTTTAATGAAAATACTAAAGGGATTGACCCATTCTCATGTTCAATAAATCAGTTTAAGAATAAAATCAAAATATTGTCATAAATTAGCTGGTTTCTTTATTTCATTACATGATTCACGGTTGTCTATTTTTGTTAAATTTGGATAATATTCATTACTATTCTTATTTATGTTTATTTTAATTATTATATATTATTATATACTTGTTTCAGCCTTATTATTATTATTATTATTATTATTATTTAAGCTGTTCTGTAATTGGGTGTATTCCTGTTTGAACAATAAAGGAATTTTTTTTTACAAAATCCAATACCTACCTATGAAAAATAAAATATCAAAAATAAATAAATCATTATAGGAGTCGGATTACAATCATAACCATTACTTCAAATTTAGAATACATATTATCTATAACTATCAATAAATAAAAAAATAAGTCAGTTACTAGAACACAGCTACATCTGTGTTCTTCTAATTGTAATCGAACCCTACTTAATATTCATAAGTACAAGTGATAAAAATCTTAATTTCCTATTAACTTTTTTGGCTTATTTTGTATCTGTATTAGAATACCTAATAGTGGATTGCATAAAAGAATATTAAATTTTAAACACAGGATAATACATTTTATTCATGGATATTTAGTATCTCTAGATTTTGTTATCCAAGCTAATGTCATATTTGGGTTGTATTATTTTAAGGATTATGTTGACATTTGTATACATAAATTTGAAGTTTGACTTCTAATTATATTGGTAATATTAAGGGTATGGTCCGTTATTAACTGAAATATCTGTTACTTGGTCCAAAACTAACCGCTCTGCTTGACATTCCTGAAAAATCGGTTAAATTAGGGAAGTGGTTACCTGAAAAGGGTGACTCAAATGTCAATTCACCAACCGCTATATTTTTACGGTGTGACAAAAGTGACGTAAATCTCGACCGTGGTCCAAATGTAACCAAGAAATCCTGGTCGATTGCAGTTAGTAGTCAGTTAATAACAGACCATAACCTTAGTAAATTTATCTTGTCTAATTCAGTAATCAATAAAGTTGTTTTACTTTTCACCCTTGCTTACATTCATTTTGTTCAGTTTTGAAGTTTACCATCAATCCAAAATAAATAACAACTGTTTTGATGGATTAAAGAATTAAAATTCCACAAAATCATAGGATTTACTAATTTAGAGATAAAAAATATCCATAGATAAAATATATTATCCTGGATTAAAGATTTAATCTTCTTTTATGCAACCCTAGTGTGTATAAATAATCTTCGTTCCATTACAACACAAAAGAAACACCAAAAAATATCATTTAACATGATTTTGAGTGATACACAACTTATTTTCGTACATGAACATACAAAAACGGTACACTGAAAATACCAAGCTGTCACTTCTCCTTGATCAGTATTCTTGGATAATAGGATGTACCTATTTTATAATTTAAAATTTTTGCAAGCTTGATTTAACACAGATTAGTTATACATTAGTAATAAAATACTAAAATTTGATATTAAACAAAATTAAATAATAATACTTCATACATCTTTACTTCAAAGTCTATTCAAATTAATTATTTCTGATGTCAGTTTTAGTAGTAAAGATATAAATTTGGAGTCTTAGTCAAAAGAAATATTAGATATTCAAATCTAAAATTGGACTTTCAACTTGACTAAAATTATCAGATTTAGATCTGACCCCAAGTAATTTGTAGTCTCATACTCAATGACTACTTAGAAAACATTTTAATTTAGACCCAATAAACCTAGGCCTATTTTATGATAGTAATGAGCTCCAAATTGTTTAAAATACTTTTCATTTTAATGCTATTTATAAATATATGTAATCACTAACAAGTATTGCTTATAAAATCAAAATTATATTTCTGTTAGAACTCTTTGCCAGTAATAATTTGACAAAATAGTTAAGTACTTTTAATGTCATTAAACAAAATGTTTATGCAGCACTTTTTAGTACTAATATGCATTTAATTAGTACTTATAAATAAGAATGAAATCATCTATTTGCATAATTGGTACTTCCTGTTAATATAAACATTTAATGTAGAGGCGGATTTTGCCCTCAACTATAGATAACATTAACAATATAAATTTGTTAATAGTAATAATCTATTATCTTATTTGAGATACCTACCTGTCGGCTAGTTCTTCTGGATTTAAGCCATCCAAGTGATCTGGGTCCATATAATTAAAAGGAGTTTTAGGTTCTTCAATTTTCATGTGCCCATAATCTTTATCTGCAGGGTGAAGAGTGGCTATTATGTTCATTTCATCCCATTTTGTCTCTTTTGGCTTCCTAAAAACAATTTAATCAAAAACATAACACAGAAGTACCACATGCAAGATATATAATAAAAATGGAAAAGGAAACTATCTTACTTTACACTAATTTGTGACTCTTGTTTGTCAAAACTACTGGAATTTTTTAAAATACTCTTTTTGGGTCTCCTAGCTAGGTTTTCTGCCATTGTAGCCAGAAAGTCAAAAGGGTGTCGGAGCCATCAAACTTCAAAACTCGAATGAAATGAATGTCAAAAATGTCAAAGTCAAAACTGTCAGTAAGTCGAGCTATATAAAGCCCGTTTTACATTTCATTTAACGTAAGAAAGCAAGACCGAAGAATTGATTTATGCATGTGATGTATTATTAGACTAAAATAGTATATGACGTCACTTTTCATGAAGAGATATTTTTTTTCAAATATTGAACTTCCTTATCTTACTAATTTACCAAATGAAGAAAAGGCTGTTGTTTTTTCTTAAAGTCTAGATGAAATAATAATTACAGATACCGCCTATGTAAGGTGTAAAGTATATAAAGTTGAGGTGTTTAAACTAAAGATAGGTGGTCGGTGGTCACCATATTGAGATGCTATGACGATGCTAAAGTGTCCGCCCTTGGCATTACATTTTTACGTCAATGTCAAACTCGAGATAGTGGAGCTAGGGTTCTATTCTCTAACACATCTGTTAAAATGTAGAGGCCTTTAAAAATTAAACTTTTAGCGGCCCGTTAATTTTTTTAACCAAAAATGGTATTCTGTATACACAAATTTTATAGGCCTGTTAAAAATTATTTATTTTAACGGATTCCCTTAAAAATGGCAGGAGAACACTTGACAATATCGCATTTAAGATTTATTTAAACTAGTTTGAAAACATAACTATACAAATCCTCAATTTTCAATTCAAAACCGTTAAAAATTTTAACATCCCTTTAAAAATGATTGTTATTTGAGGACTATTTTAAAGGAATCCGTTTTTAATAATGACAGAAGTCAATTAGCGAATAAATTGTTACAGAATAGACCCCCTAGTCAGTTTTGGTGAAAATAAGTGCCATTTTGGTTAAATAGCTTTATTTAAAAGATATAAAATCATTTTCATTCTGTCAGATTTCAAATGTATTAATTTTAAAAAATCAAATACCACTCAAGTCGCCATTTTCATTACACTTTTCCGTCACTTGAAGTGCGTCCATCTGTCATATGGCAAAATAGTGTTCATGTCGTCTCTACTTTATTCTATCTCGATGGTGGTCACATACATACAAAAAAATATGTTACACTTATTTTGTGTAGTATATTATGCATATTAATACCAGTATTGGAAATAAAACTTTTTATTTATGAAGAAGGAAAAACGTAATAACAAATATATGGTATACTAACATAATCCAAACATCGGCATCGTCATGACATGAGGAAAGATTGTCTTTTTAATTAATTATAACTTTATTACACAAAAAATTGCATTTAATTATCTTAAAAATAAATATAACTTTATTTCTATGTAATAAAGACAATATTTTCTTCACGATTCAGACCCCTCTACTACCACGCTAGTCCGTGTCCAAGCACCTCTATGGATCAAGCGTGGCGGTACGGCATCCTTTCAAGTTAATTGTGCTACTCTTTACTCTTTAATGACCGATTCCGCCGTTGTGTTAAACGAAGTTTAAAATGATATTTTTACATTAACAATGTCATTTTAATCTCCGTTTTTCACAATGATGGAATCGGCCCTAAGAATCCTAGTTACTGTCACATCCAATCACTCCACGTATTCAGAGATGACCTCTACAGTAGGTTTGTTTCTGCAGAGGTTTATGATAGGCAGCAAACCATTCGCAAAAACTGTCATGTAATGTAAGTTGCATAGCTCTTTTTCAATCCTGCAGAAGCAATCCTAATGAAATTGCGCACTCCGTTCTATGAGTAGCGTTATAAATGTCGTAGATAAGGCTTAAAATATTAATCCTCCACGGGTAGGGAGTAGGGATATCACAGAGAAATATAATTTTTTTTGAAAAAATAAAAAATAGTTCTGATTTAACAATAAATAAAACAGATCATTTAAAAAAATAATAAAGATTTTAATTTAAACTGAACATAACCGCGTAGGTTAGCTGTCACCAGTCAAAATATATTCAATAAAAAAAAACAAATAAAAATCTCCAGTCTTAGAATCCATTAAAATACCAATGGGTTAATTCGCCTTCTTAAAAAACGTTTTTACTTAAAACTCTGCGCCATATCGGTCAAAGCTGGAGGTATTTACAAAAAGACTAAAACGAAAGTGAAGCGAGCATGCGCGTTTTATTAATAGTTCACTTCTGTATCAAATTTCTGTGAAAATTTTCATCAGTCTCATCTTTAGCGAGGAGGGGTGTAGTTCTTGTTGGTGACAGTGGTGATAAAGTGAAAATTAAGAATTCTCAGCACAGGGTGAGTGAAATATTCTTTTATTTCTAAAATTATTTTACTTCTGCAAGTTATTGTTTTGTTGCTGCTTGATATCGGAAAGAACCTTGAAGTCTCGACGGTTCAATGTTCTTTTGTGTCTTGCAGTCAAGGGTGGAATGGTCTGGTCCAATGGGTTAAATCATTGCAGGTGTCAATTAAAGGATTAGCTGTTATTAAAACGCAGCAAACGTGTTTTATTCAACATTTCCTCAGTCTTATAACAACAGAATTTATTTTGCCGGGTTTTGCTTTGTTTTACTGCAAAAAAATCTGTAGTGTTTACCTTGTAATATCGTCCAAAAAGTACGTACAAATGTTGTCTGCAGCCTTATTTTTCTTTTAACTTTTAACGCGCATTATTACTTCAAATGATAAATACCTAATTAAGGTAAATAAATACATTGGCGCAGGTAACTTATTTTAGTTTTTAATGAATAAACTGACAAAACTGCGTATTTTTGTAAATGTCAAATTTGTTTACGTAATACGAGGGTGATAGGAAAACTGATTTTTTAATAACAACGCTTTATTATTTTTTATAATAGGTACATTGTTTTAACATTGTAAATATACTAATTTATTATACACACCGCCAATACTAAAATCTTGACGTCAAAATACGATTTGGTAAGTGTAAAGGCGTTCGCAGGAAAAAAAATCAGGGGGAGATACAAAAACATAAAATATCTTAATTTATTTTATTACTTTAAAAGTTACTGAAGAAAGAACAATTTATGGTAATTAACAAAAATCTAAGACCTATATAAACGAATACTTAAAAAGAGACGTCTTTAAAATGTAAAATAACGTATTTAAAGTATATATCGAAAAAAATTGTTGTCACAATTTATTCTTGACTAAAAAAAAGCAGTATCCTTTGGGGTTCAGGTGAAAATGTATCCGTTACTTTTTTTATAAATTCTTTTCGTTCATTTAAAAATAATTTCTGATGAACACTTATCAGAAATAATCCATTTAGACGGTCTTCAAAAAAAGTTGAACGCAACCAAGTTTTAACTTTTCTTAGAGTACTAAATGTTCTTTCAATACTGTAAGTAGTGGGAGGTAGAGTTAAGATTATTTTAAAAATTTGGTGAATTGAAGGAAAAAACATTTTTACGTTTTCCATCATAAACATTTCCTCTAAAGTCTTAACCATTTACATTAATGTTTAATCCCTCCAAATACTCCAAAATTTATCTTATTATAAGGTACAGATTATTTTTACGAGGATTCAACCCTTGCCCAGATGACAAGAATAAGTATGCTCCTAACATTTTATTTTCTATTAGAAAAAAAATGTTCCAGTTAATAAATTGTACTTATGCAAAAAAATGGATTAACAAAATGAAAAGCATGGGGGGCGGCCGGCTCCCTGACTCCTCTGCTACCCCTGTTATTAAAAATATAACTAATAAAAAAAAAATTGAAATAATTTTTATTTAATTTACCTCTAGCAAAAATTATTAAACTACAAATTCAAAATCTTAATAAAATTAAAGTATACGGGTGTAAAGTTATCCACATCCACAAATGTACACTGAAAAAAATACAGCTCCATTGTAATAGTCATATAACTTCGTTCAAATGACATGTAGAGGCTTTTCATTTGCAGATTTAAATTGAGGTTTCAATACAATCATACTCGCAATTAAGTTTTGCTCAGTCTGAGGGGGTGCAATTGGGGTGAAATATAAAAAAAAAATCATAGTAGCCACAAATGGCATTGTACACCTTTCAGCTTGGGATATGTTGTGTAGTTTGCTATTTTCTTCACCCCTGATACCATGCTGGAGTTTGTCGAGCCGTCTGAGGGGGGTGCAATTGGGGTTAAATTTAAAAATATCATAAAAGCTACAAATGGCTTTGTACACCTTTCTGCTTGGGATATGTTATGTAGTTTGCTCTTTTCTTCATCCCTGATACCATGCTGGAGTTTGTCGAGCCGTCTGAGGGGGTGCAATTGGGGTGAAATTCAAAGAAAAATCATATATAGTTAATTATAATTTAGGTGCAGAAAATACATAAAAAAAAGTAACTGAAGATATACTTCTTTATATAAAATAAAAATTATGTTTTCTCTAAAACAAAATAAAAAATTATTCCTGAATTAAAACATAATATCACACAAGTACATTATAATGTAGGTACAGAAAATATACTTCTTTATTTAAAGTAAAAATGTTTTCTCTAAAAAAAAAAATTATTCTTAATTTAAAAAATAATATTACACAAGTACATATAATGTAGGTACAGAAAATTCATAAAAAAAATAGGTCAAAATAAGTCAAAATATACTTCTTTATATAAAATAAAAATGTGTTTTCTCTAAAACAAAATAATAAATTACCCCCTCAGACGGCTCGACAAACTCTAGCATGGCATCAGGGATAAAGAAAAGAGCAAACTACATAACATATCCCAAGCAGAAAGGTGTACAATGCCATTTGTGGCTTCTATGATTTTTTTTTAAATTTCACCCCCAATTGCACCCCCTCAGACGGCTCGACAAACTCCAGCATGTATCAGGGATGAAGAAAATAGTAAACTACATAACATATCCCAAGCTGAAAGGTGTACAATGCCATTTGTGGCTTCTATGATTTTTTTTTAAATTTCACCCCCAATTGCACCCCCTCAGACGGAGCAAAAGTTAATTGCGGGTATGTTTGTTATGTATTAAACCCCCCCCCCCATTTGAAATCTGCAAATGGAAACCCTCTACATGTCATTTGAACCAAGTTTTATGACTATTACAATGGA